AACGCTCCGATTAACTCATCAAAGCCAATTGTGTCACGATTCGGAAGTGAATTAAACCAAATACTAGCTGAGCCTTTTAAAAACAGTGGCAACGCTTTACATTGTTTTTCTTTCGACCATCCGCAAATGTCTGCTGCGCGAGTATACGTGCTTACGAAATTGTTTACGTCTTCATTCTCGTCGCCTTTAAAAGTAGGGAAATTAATGACTCCTTTCATACTTAACGAGTCTTGGCAAGCTTCGTGTAGCGCGTTCATTCTCTGCGCGTGATCTTCGCGTTCAAGTCTTAGGTTTTCGAGCTGTCGTTCAATATTCTCTTCCATTCTTTCAAGTGAATTCGCGTTCGATTCTTCGGCTTGATGTCGTACTGGGTTGGTATCCGGTTGAGTTCCTGTTAWTCTATGTGTCTGRTCTTCCCGTGTAAATCCTGCTTGTGGAYCGATGKGRATAYGRACAGGGTCGTACAGCGGGTTTTCTYGWTSATGCMAAYGAAAATGRCGTTCYTCGTCCGCTGCAGACCATTSTTCAGGTGGTGGTGGTAAATCTTCTAATCTTTCTTCGTCTAAACTAACACTTCTTKGTGCTATCGGTGTACTACTTTCMACWACTGCTYTAGCGTCTCGCTGTCTTGCTGGTGTACCTGGTATCTCTGGTAACTGACCTTCTGCGTTTCGCTGTAATCCCGATGTGCCTGGCTGTTGTCTTTCAGGATTCCTTTCTTCGTTGTCTATCGGTTCTTGTCTTCCTACTTCTAGAATAGTGCACTCAGCTTCTGAATTTCCTGAACTTAAACTAACGCGATCTTCAYYTAYATTTRACCAAGCAGCTGCTGTTTGTAACCTACTTTCTTTCGGGGTGGGGGAAGGTGTAAGAAATTTTTTCGCTGATGATACGAAATTCTGGAAGGGGCTACGCCTTGCTGTRCGCGTACCTTCGCCACYTGCTGTTCKCTGTCTCCCTGCTCTATCTTCCTCGGCTCGCGCCGCGCGTGCTTTACTTCTAGTCCACAGTTTGAAAGCGTTG